ACTGCAAGGACGGCGATCCCGCACCCTGCGTGGGCAGCCCGCCCTCATGCTTCACCACCCTCCTCCTGAGACGGGTTTCCAACCTCAGCCTCCCTCGCTGGAACTGGAGCCCACTGCTGCTCGCTCTGCCCTCGGCCGCTGCCGACAACAGCCCGGCTCCATCCTCTTCGCAAGCCCCCTCCAGGCACTTGAAGGCTGCTGTTCAGGCCTTCTGCATTATTATGAAATCTATGCAATTCAATCGTGGTGCCTCAGACCTATAGCGAGGGGGGCCGCTGCAGTGACAACACGGGCCCCTGTGGGCAAGTTCAAACCCTGTCCCACCTTGGTGACCGTGTTTACTGTGCTACCTGGTGGCCTTTGAGCGCTTCACACAGGGTATAGCATCGCCTGAAGACGGCTGAAGCTGGGCATGTGCGCTTGTGCATACCCACTGCCCCCAGCCCCAGCAGGTCAATCTGTAGGGGAGGGAAGGGGCGGGGGCCAGACTGAGGTCCCCAGGGTGAGCGGCTGACTGTGTGGCCAGCCAGGAGCAGGGGAAGGTAAGTGGGGCCCCAGTCCGGCCAGGTGGTGGGAGCATTGGAGCCCAGGGAGGCTCCTCCAGTGGCACTTGGGGCTCCCTCCCCATCTCTGCGGGGGCAGAGGTGGCAGAGGCTGCTGCCGCTGTGCCTCAAGTCCTGCTGCAGCTGGCCACGTGTGGGCGCGGCTCAGCTCAGCAGCAGGGACTCACATGGGGCGGCCTTGACCCAGCCGGATCTGGGAAGATCTGGTCGTCCAAGGGTGCATGGGGGGCGCTCCCGCCGCCGGACACAGCTTGGTGGAGGCCCTGGCAGCCCATGCCCTTCCCACCTGTGCTTGGGGTGCAACAGGCAGCCTACAGCAGCAGCCGCCTTGTCCTGAGCACAGGTCGGGGGGCACGGGCCACCGGGTTTTTTGCCAGGCTGTACCCAGCGGCGGGAACACCCCCCCTCCTCCTCCCCCCAGCGACTACCAGACCACGGAGACTTTCAGACCCGGCCAGGCTGGGGCCCAATGCCACCTTTCTCTGGCTGCCGGGCAGACACAACTCAGTGCAATTGTAGCACAGAAGGGGGATCAGGCCCTGGCCCAGCTGGATCTGGGACACTCCACGGTCCAGGGGAGCATGGGGCAGGGGGTGGAGAGAAGTGGGGCAGGGCAGGGCAGGGAGGGCGGGGCAGCCAGTGGGGCATGGTAGATCCTGGGGTGACCTTCAGTTCCAAAAAGTGATCTTCACCATAAAAAGGTTGGAGAGAGACCACTGCTCTAATACCACGTTTTCTCTGAATCTGTGGTTTGTCAATTTTTCAGGCTGGATCAAATCCATTTTGGAGTCTCCTTTCCTGCATATTTTTCTTCCCTGTGATGCATGTTAGCCCTTCCCCACCCACTATAGGGCAACACCTTCTGTTAGACCCTGTCGCTAAACATGAGTTGTACTGGGACTTTTCCCTTTCACCCAGTGATGTTCACCCTACCGGCTTCTGTGCAGAAGGCCCATTGTTTGTGGTGCCAAAAACTGAGGGACAATCAGAACCAGCTGCCTTAGGCTGGCTTGTTAGTGCCTGTCCTTCACCAATGTCAAATGTCAGGAATATTTCATTAGAAAGGGACTGTCCACAGGGTAAATTGCTTTGAACAAGTTTAGACATGTTCAGCACTAATGCAAAAAGGAGATTCAAATTAAAAACAATTCACAATTTGATGCAGACCTGTTTCACACTATTATAGAGCTCCTGATGAATTTGGGTCATTAGTGGCACTTGTGAAACTTTGGGTTTGGCTTACTGCCTTCTTTCAAGTTTTATTTTGCTCTAACTTTGACTGAAGGAGGAAGTACCAGCGGGTCCAATGGAATGTCATACCAGTAGATATTGTCAATACTTGCAGCTTAAGAGAGAATGCCAGAGGCAGAGCTATATCTAAAAAGCTGTTTGGTCACGAATAAGTAACATGTTCTGTATTGGTACATTGGTGTGATTTGTGCCAGGCAAAATTTGTGTGTTGGCACAGCCAAGAGCAGGTGTCTGACTGGGGGTGGGGCAGCTGTAAAGGGGCGGGGCTACCCATGAGGCCCTTGACAGTTCACCAAAACTTCATAAGCAGCCCTCCACCGGAAATAATTGCCCGCCTGTTTTACATGGTCTTTTTGTGACAGTTTACATGCTTGGAGATTGTAATGGATTTTTGTTCTGTTTTAAAAGTCTGAATCCTTTAAGCATTTTAAATGTTAGGATGCTAATGAGTTAGATTTAGTGACTTAAGCAGGTGTTTATGTTGAAGAGTTCACTTAATATTTGTAAATATTTGAAATATTTGCATTTCGGCCTGCTGTAGTCTTTCCAAGCTGTGAGAGAGCCTAAAAGAAGAGAATTGTGGAAGTGTTGTAGGAAGCTAGTTAATGCTGAACTGTAAGCTTTGTAGGTTTAGAAAGGATATTGATCCATTGATCCAAACCACATAAACAGAAATGGCTTATGCAAAACGTAAGATAAACTATAATCCTTTATGACATGTGGCATTGCCCATAGCAAAGTTTAAGGCATAACATATTACATATCACATCTTTTAGGCACCTCTGTTATGGTCTACCCTAATAGAAAAGACAGCTTGTCACAGACCTCTCAGTTCCCTGAAGTGTTTACCACAAAATATTGCCATGTTAACTGTGAAACAATGCAATGCCTACTGGGCTGGACAAAAGCAGCACAGCATTTATATCTCCCTTGTGAATGCAATGATTACGAGATATGACAGGTAATATTATGTGTGCCATAAAGCTGCATTATATTTCCTTATCATCTGGACATGGTACAAGGTTTCCTGATTTGCAGCTAAAGATATTTGCAGGTAGTAATAACAATGATATATCCGATTTTATGTTCACAAAACTTTTATAAACATTATCGGACTCTCCCAAGACCACTGGAGACTATGTATAGCTATTCTGATTTCTTTGTTTCATCCTGCAGTGTCAGGATGAAACAAAGACCACCAAGGACTGGGCTCCCAGAAATGAGGCATATTATCTGTATTTCTCTCTCTTTTTAAAGTAGGCACCCACATGGTCATCGCTAGGAGTCAAATGCTGGCAATATTTGCTCACAGTCAGATTTGTGCGCACAGCTTGATTAAAATAAATAGAGCAGAGTTCAATGTGTTTTTTTTTTGGAAGTATAAGGACACTCTTCTCCAGTTACTTTCTCTTTCTGTAGAAAAATAACAGGAAAGCTCTTTGTGTTCTTTTTAGCCTTGCAGAACTGTTGTTTTTGCTTTTCTTAATCCAGTAATTATCAATATAGCAAAAATGTAAAACCAGCTGCCAGTTTCAGCAAATCTAGACTGCCTTGTTTAAACTTAGATTCATATCACATACGTCTTGTACCTGCAACTATGATTCTGATAATGACTGGAGTAGCTCCAGTGAAGTCAGTGAAATCAAATTAGCATAAAACAGGCACGAAGTAAGATTAGAAATAAGTCTTCTAGTTTCTTCCACATAGTCTTTTCTTTCAGTAATCTACTGGTAACAGTACACCAATGTCATGTTTAAACTAGCAGATATCATAAATCAGCATTCAGATACCAGGATATTGAGATTTTTCTGAGAGCTAGTTCGATAGCTTTATTTTAATAAACACATGGCTTGATTACATTCTGGCACCTTGGCACTTTCTGAGTTTAACAAAAATAATCAGTTGGAATCAGTGTCCCAGATCCAGCTGAACTACACCTGGAACAGGCCCTGGGGAGAGAGGGTGAAGGGACAGGGAGCTACAAGCCATCTTTGTGTTCTACCATTTCTGGGGCTGGCTGTTGCCAGTTCAATCTTCAGGACAACTTCAAATAGCTGATAGCTACTCTAAATAGTAATTTCTGGTTGGCTTACAGGAGTGTAGCTATGTCCTGGTGTGGCCCCTTCCCCTAGATGTGCCCCCTATGCTAGGGGCTCTGAGAGCGATAACGGTGAAAAGGCTATATTGCCGCTATACTGGGGTCGGTAATTATTTTGGGTGGAGGGCCACTTAATGAGTTTTGGGGACCTGAGTTTTGGGGAGGGCCACATCCATCTCTGTCTGTCTCTCACTCTCTTCTCTCTCTCACTCCTCTTCTTGCTCTCTTCTCTTTTCTCTCTTCTCTCTCTGTGTGTCCTATCTCTCTCTTCATCTTCGATCTCTCTCTGTCTCTTCTCTCTTGCTATCTGTCTCTCTTCTCTTCTCTCTCTGTCTCTCCTCTTCTCTCTGTCTTTCTCCCCCTCCTGCCCTCCTTCCCCTCCACTCCCTCTAGAACTCAGCCAAAACTATACTTCACCAGGAGTCCTGGCATTCAGCTGCGGACCCAGGTAGGAGCTGCTGCCACGGCTGGAGGGTGGCATCCTCAGCTTTGGTTGGATTCTGGAGGGAGGAGAGTGGGGAGGGGGAGAGAGACAGAGCAGAGCAGAGAAGAGAGATGCTGCCTGCTTAGAGCTGCAGCAGCTCCTACCTGGGTCCACAGCTGATGCCTCTGGCAGGTTTGGGGTGAGAGCTCCAGGTGAGAGCTTCTACCGCACTGGAAGGGCGGCAAGTCAGCTGTGGACCCCGACTGCAGGTTCTGCATCTGAGCTCCTGAATCTTCCTGTGGGGTTTGCAGTTCACACTGCCATCTGCCAGCCTGCAGGGGAAACCAAGCCCAGGTCGACAGCTGAGGCCTCATGCTGCTGGGCTGAAGCAGTCCCCTATGCCTGCCCAGCACCACAGGGTGGTTGGAGCCGCTGGCCTCCTGCAGGCCAGATCCTGCAAGCTGACAGCTGTCCACCCACAGACCAGACCAGATCAGATCTGTTGGGGTGCCAGATCTGGTCCATGGGCTGTATTTTG